AAACCTTTTCCTTAACATTTTGAATTAACAATTCAAAATGTTATTCAAAACTTAACAATTTGTTTCAACTCTTTGAGCGTCGCGAGCTGCTGTCATCGGCTTAAGTGAATACAAAATATAGAGCTTATTCTCACTTTATAGTCATTTTCTGTATGTAACATTTAATGCATTGAGGAGGCCAGAGTCCTTACTTAAAACCTTTCCCGATAGATTTTTATGAAAAATTATTTTCTCCGATATTTTCCAAGATAAATTATTACAACATATAAACTTTTTTAAGAATCGAAAACAATATCAAAGCATTCAAATAATTGCATTCTTAAAAGTAAAAGTTTGCAAAAGTCAAATAACAATATCAAAAGACAAATAACAAAGTCCATGGATTACGAAAGGACTTATTAAATCTTCTAAGAAGAAGTAAAAACTCTATGAAAAATACTTAAAAAAAAATCTTATCAAAACAAAAAAATATATAAAATATACAAAAACCTGTTTGTAAACTTAAAAAGAAAAGCTGAAAAAAATTATTTCTCAAATTTATTACAAAATAATATTGGAAACAACTAAAAAACTTGGGATATAATAAAATTGATAGGAAAAGAAAAGAAAACTCGTGGTGATACATTGCCGAAATATTTATTTACTGACAATGAAAGACAATAACTAATGAGAAAAAAGATATTGCAAACAGTTTCAATAACTTTTTCATGAACGTGGGTAAAAACCTAGCAAACAAAATAACACCTTGAAAATAAAATTTGTAAATAATATCTAAAAGAATTAGACTGTGTAATGGATGAGCTTGAGGTATTGCCTGATGAACTTCGGTTTGCTTTTAATATGATAAAACCAAACAAAAGCGCAAGTCTTGATGAAATAAGCTTTAGGGTTGTTAAAGAAGTTCTTGGTATTATTGAATACCCCTTACTTATCATATTTAATCTTTCATTTAAAAATGGAATTTTTCCTGATCTTTTGAAACTAGCTAGAGTGGTTCCAATATTTAAAGATGATGATATCTCAAAGTTATCTTATTCCAGACTTGTTTCAATGCCCACATGTTTTTTAAAACTCTATGGCGAATAATGCATAATAGGCTTTACAACTATCGCTTAACTCACAAAGTTCTAAATAAAAATCAATACTGATTTAGAAAAGGGTGCTCGACAAAACACGTAGTAATTAAATTAGTTAAAGAAATATTAAATGAGTTTGAAAACAACCAATATACTCTTGGAGTGTTTATTGACCTCTCAAAGGTCTTTGATACTGTGGACCATGATATTCTTCTTTACAAACTTATAAGTTATGGAGTCAAAAATAATAATCTTAAATGGTTTTGTTCCTATCTTAAAAGTTGCAAACAATGTGTTTCTTATGACAAAGCTTACACTAAATTAGAAAATATCACCTACGGAGTTCCACAAGGATCTATTCTAGGCCCTTTATTGTTTATTATTTATAAAAACGATATTTACTCATCATCTAGTATACTAAACTTCGATCTCTTTGCTGACGACACTCAAGTTTTTTATACTCACTCTAACATTAAGACAATCTTTACCACTATGAATCATAAACTTGATAACCTTAATGAATGGTTTAAAGCCAACAAACTCTCTCTGAACACTACCAAAAGCAAATATACTCTCTTTTCTAAATCTTCTAAATCTGACACGTTGCCCTTGAAACTCCCGGATATTTCAATAGAAAAAAAAAATTGCAACGGACATTCTGCGTTAAATTCCTAGGTGTTTTAATCGATGAGCAAATAAGTTGGAAAGAGCATATTAATCTAGTAGAAAATAAAAATTCAAAAGTATTGGTTTTATGTATAAAACTAGATATATGTTGGATAAAAACTGTTTAAATCCATTTACTTTCATGTGTTTTCAACTGTTTAAAATCCATTTACTTATTAATTTAAATCATTTATTTACAGCTACATTAATTATTGCAACATTGCATGGGCAAGCACTTATCCGTCAAGACTAACGCGTATCTTAAAAAAAAGAAAAACAAGGAAGCAGCTTAATATTACTTTACTGAAATTGTAATATTCTTTTTTATTTGATGGATTATTTTTGGTTTAGTATGTAAATGATACAACGGGACTTGATGATGTTTGTCGTCTGCCTGCTCCCGTCGCATCTTAACTAAAAAAATAAATTGTAAATAATTTATTATGAAAATGACGAAAAAAATAAGTAAATAAAAAAAAAAAAAAAAATCAAAACATTTGATACGATACTCTTGTAAAGCTATGAAATATACAACTTCGTCGTAATAGATTTAAGAAAATATATATCCGGAGGAAAATTAGGTAACAGGTTTTTTGTGAATTTTTTTTTTTATGATAAAAATTTTTTAAGAAATATCATCAAATGAATTATTTTGTTAATAAAAACGCAAAATTTCTGTTTAAGACGTTATTTTAAATTTGATGGAAATTACAATGCAAACGGTAAACAATTTTACCCTGGTTTAATAAAAATCCTTTTACTTCTATACCTCTTTAAGTAAAAAGTTTCAATATATGTTTTTTGTTATTTTGAATACCTGACTTACATTCTTTCGATAGGTATAAAATAAATAAAATTTGCTTAAATTTTTTAAGTTGCTATGGGGACCAGTTACGTCATACCACCTGACATGGAAAAAAAACTAGTAACACCTGTCAATTTTCAAATCGTTATCACACAAGGATCTCATATCAACAAAAAGTTTGCTTGTAACACGTATGTGCACACGAAAGTACGAATGTGGCCTGCAGATTTCGATCACTTTACATTATTAAAATTTTAGTAGCGCTGTTAAGACGGTGCCGTAAAGATGACTAATCAAAAATATGTCGCAATTGAGTTTGTAAAGAAATACTTTTAAAAAGTTTTTTAACGTAAAGTAGATTTATTCTTTTTTTTTTTTTTAATAATTTTTTTCAGACATTTAAATTGTTGTTTTGAATTACTTGTCATTTAATATTAGAACTCATTAAGTATGCATAATATATATATATATATATATATATATATATATATATATATATATATATATATATATATATATATATATATATATATATATATATATATATATATATATATATATATATATATATATATATATATACCAAACATTTATATGTTCATACTTATATTACATAATAAATACTTTGCGAAAAATTGCGATGATTGGAGTCTGGGAACAAAAATTTTGGCCACAAAATTTTTCAAACCCAAAAATTTTGGCCACATTGGTCCGTGAGCAACAAGACAAAATATTTTTCATTATTCTCAACTAAAGTTATATTCATCAATAAATTTTAAATTTCATATTATAATCTATCAGCGTTCAAAAATTATGACCATATAAAGTTTAAAAATCTCTTTATTAACAACTATTTGCATATTTTATTGGGTAAGCCAATGAAATATATAAGTCATGTATATTTCAATGGCTTTCCTAATATAATACTTGAATGTTTGTTTAAGGCTCCACGGGCGTTCCTGAATTTACTAGTAAGTTAATAAAAAAATTATTTTCTTTAATGCTCTCACGTTTGGCTTAATATTTAAGGTATTTTTATTTCCAGGCTCAATTTATAAAAAGTTTAGTGATAAGCCTTCATATTTAACATATGTGTTAAAGTGTACCATGCATTTGTAGTTTGTTTATTTAAAACAATTTTAACTATATTTATGGCACAATTTATGTTAATGTAAAACACTAACATAAATCGTGCCATAAATCAAGTTTACATACATAAGTGTAATTAGAAATAAAAATACAAAGCAGTTATTTTCTTCTATAGGGCGTTTTTCAGCTGTCTTATATAATGCTACTCAATTTGATAAATGGAATATGATTTATATTTTTATATATTTTGATAATAAAAACATAAAATAAGCCATTATGATTACCCATTATGTCTCTAATGATCTCTAAAAGTTTTTTGGTGATAGATTGTTCCATTAGTGCGGAATTTCTGGCAAAATGATATTAACTACCCTCTTTACAACTACCCTGTCTCGACCTCCAAAATGTGGGGCAAAGTAATACTAAGTAAAAGTTTAATTCTCAAAATAATTTTTGATGAGTAAGATCTAAGTAAATTTTTTTTTAACAAAAAACAAGTCTTAACCAATATAATTAATTTGTGCTTAAACTTCTAACAAATAAACTTTTATTTAAGTTTTATATATTTATTATGTAAATAAACTATTTTTAAATGAAATCTTTTTAACGCGCCGATGTTAAGAAATCTTTTGAAACATAAAAATTCTGAAAGGTTTATCTTTTAAGGGTACCTCTTAGACCATAGATCGCTGTTAGAGCATTTTTAGTGTCATCAAAAGTTTTGGTTTATGCGTCACCTTTAATTAATAATTTATATAAATGATTTAACGACTCAAAATAAAAATAATCTATTTAAATTAAAATAAGTTACGTAACAACGCCAAAGTTTTTTCTTTTAAAGTTTTTAATAACATTATAAATGACTTTACGTGAAAATAAGAAATTTAAATTTCTACCTTTTTAAAATGACGATCATTAGCAAGTTTAGAAAAAATTATACAATATATAACTCAATTCACTTTAACGACCTTTTTCGGTAGCGAGTGTTGTCGTTACGGAGAAGCACATTCTCTCAACGAGTGTTGAGAGATTTTGCTTCTCCTTAAAGAGTAAAATATTTCGTAAGAACCCTCGAAAAAAATTAAGTTGACATAAAAAAAGTATGACAACTGAAAGAAAACAAATAAATAATCTAAAGTTCTGTATTATGTTCGCTCTATCATAAAAAATGGCTATGTACGTAGAGTTTTTCCAATAAAATTTTTTATTTTGTTTCGATATTTTTATTAGATAGACTCTTAAACTTTAAAATCAATTTTTAGTGTCATGACGTCATATATTGAGATAAAAAAATTATGAAAACTACTTTAAAACATGAAAAAAACGTGAAATTTATAAATATTAAAAAGAAAAACTAGCATTACCTTAACAAAAAAGTTTTGAACATTGTGAGAAAACCTAATTGTCTTTGCTTTTCCCCATGTATTTCTCGGATGATGTTACAATCAGTTTAAGATTTAAAGAGAGAAGTTAACATTCAAATTTGACTGCTTGTTTTAAGTTACCAATTAGAGCTAATTTTTTCTAAAAAGTGGATTTACATGCAATATCAAAGAACAACTCTTATAGTTTTAAGATAGTTAAAAATTAATATTAAAAACAAAAAATCTATGGAAACAAGTGAGAACCTTCTGCTACCCTAGGGTTACTGAAAAAAAAAAAAACACTATCCAATAAATATGTTGCAATTACATTTTAAAAATGAATTAGTTTTGAAATATTTTTATCGTATGCAGATAACATATAAAAGAAATTGTATCTTAACCTTTATTAGGTATCCCAAACATCTAAAAAATAAAAATAAAAAAAAAAAACAACTAAATTCTCAGTTATTTACGATATTAAATTAGAGTTCAAATAAGAAAATATAACAACTTGTTATTTTAAAGATGAAGAAAGAAGATGATCCAAATCATTTGATAAAAACTTAAATATCTTAGTAACTATACTATAAGCACAAGAAAAATAGTCACAATTTACTTGCATAATAAATAAAAACGTTAAATACTCAGATTTTAAAAATATATCTTTAAACGGACTTAAAAGCTTTAAACGTGGCAGTCTTTAGTTGTTTTTCTATAGTAGTTTAAAATTTTGAAGATTTTATAATCAGACTGCCTGGATTTTGTTTTCTTAAGTTATTACTTTCTACATAATTATTTGAAATAAATAAAATACATATAGAGCAAAGTTAGATTTTATATTTGATTTCCTTAAAACAAGAAGTAAATCCAAGCTCTGACTCTATAAATTGGTGACACAGTTCTAATGTTACTGACTTTTGATCTAAAATGTCAGTGCTTCAATGCCCATTTGAGAAAAAACAAAACGTAGGCCGGATAAATATCAATAAAATTTTTTTTTATCCTTTAAATCAAAATATCCTTTCTATATTGTTGAGATATGATGAATGTTCTGTTGAGATATAAAGAATGGCAAAATTATCGTAGCTAATTAAATTTAAACTTGGGTTTTCGGATTCTTTAAATCAATTTTAATGACAAAAATTTAAAATAATTTTAAAAATTCCTATATAGCGTTTTAGTTGATTTAGAAAAAAAATAAAAAAGAAGCCAACAAAAATATCGAAACTCAGTTCTCCAATATGTTTTTGTTTTCATAACCAAAATTGCTGCTAAGTTGATGTTTTATTTTTACAGCTTTGATGTATATACACAATTATAAATCGTTTTGCATTTTATTTTTATAAGTTTTTATACTCGTTTGAGTAGTTCAAAGACGATTAAATTAAATTAAAAAAACCATAAAGTTATACTGTAAAATTTTGGAAAATTAAAATGGCTATTGTAAACTGCGAAGTACGTTGGAAAAAAGATATGGAAAAACGATCAGGTATATTTGAAGGTAAAAGTTTACTACGTTGATTTTTTAAACACTTCCATTCTAATATGTAAAACAATTTGTTTACTCAATTTTGTGGGTCTGAATAATTTTATTCGACAGCAATAATAGTTAATAATTGTTTTGACCTTTGTATAATCTATTTAACTTGGCCACTTAATACTTTGATAGTCTTTTGATTATTTTTTCGATTTATTGATTTTAGACTTAGAAATTAATGCAATACTTTTTTTTAAAAAGTATGATTTTATTTATTTATTATTTTAGAATCAAAAAGCGTTGAGAAACTTAAATAAAATTAAATCCATTAAAAGGGCAAATATTGGTTGTCGTGGACGTCAAATTAACGATATTATATAACGCTTATTTGACGTCGATATTTTTGATTTTATTGAGGCTTTTTGTCACGACAGTTGAGATTGCCGTGCTTTGCATTTTATTCTCTGAAATCGTGCAAATTTGTTTTGCGTTATTAATTGTTAAAACACAAAACAAAATTAAGAAAAAAATAAACAATAAGAAAGAAAAACAGTTGTTAAATAATGAAGTTCCTATTGTTAATTATATTTTTTAGGAGTTTATTGACGTAGTTTAAATTTATAAATTCAATTAATTCAATTTTTAGGAGTTTCGTTGTGGTTTATATTTATAAATTCAAATAATTTCATTTTTTAGGAGTTCCAGTTTTAATTAAAAACATTGATCCCGAGGTTGATGATAGACTTTTGATTGAAAAATTTTCTACATTTGGACAAATTTTAAAAATGAAAACTTCTCCTGATGTTCATAAAATGCGAACAGCAACCCTGTTTTACATGTCACCAGCAGATGCTCAACGGGCAATATCTAATATGAATGGAGCACGGTTATTATCGAAAGTTATTTGTGCAAAGTTGGATAACCCATTTATCAGGCATGAAAAAAAATCTCATGCAACATATAGAAACCTATTTATAAAAAGTTAGGACATTTATAACCAAAAATGAAAGTTGTGTTTTTAAAAATTACATAACATTAAAGTCTATGTTTATTATCATACTAAACAATTTTTAACAGTTATGCTATTTTTTTAGCTATTAAAACGAAATTTATATATATATATATATATATATATATATATATATATATATATATATATATATATATATATATATATATATATATATATATATATATATATATATATATATATATATATACATATAAAACTAAGAAATCAAATTCACATTATTAATATGTTATTATTGCATGTAAATTTTAAAAATATATTTTTAAATGTAATTATTATGGTGTAAATATAAATTTACGTTTGCAGTGTTGTTTTATTTAGTTTAAATTAACGTTTCAGTAAGAAGAAAAAACCCAAAATCCAGAAAGTACTGAGAAAAATTTTTTTTTATTGATTAAGAACGTACTAAGAGAAAAAATTTCTTTATTAGTTAAGAACGGTACTGAGAGAAAAAATTTCTTTTTTTGTACTTCAGTGTTATAACTTAATAATTAATTTAATGACACGTTTTTTTTTTATTACATTTGAGGCGCTAATATGGAAAAAGGATAACCTGAATTATACAAACAATAGAAAAATTAATACAACTAAAATATTTTATACAACATTTACAACAGATTTTTACATCTCGTTACTAAGGTGCTCCAAGACGATCAAATGGTCTTGTCACAGAGCACTGCGGAAAAAAATTTAACTATAAAGTTTGCACCTTCTTCTTTTGCGGTTGAATATGTGGCTAGAGGTGGCATCCTCAAACATTAGTTGTTCCTAAAAGTTTCCAGAACATCTGGACATAATTAGAATATAAATGTACCCAATTAAAAAATATCTGGGCCCTGTTAAAAAATTAGTTGCTGCGCTATTATTTGCGTTTTGTTGCAACAAAACAATAATGATGTAATCATACTCGACAACAAAACAATAATGATGTAATGATGTAATATGATGCACTTAATTACTTGAAATCAGTGAAACAATTCATTCAATCCACCTAGTTCACAGTTTTAAAAAAAATAAAGTATATGATATACTTTACAAGTCTCTTTTTTTTCTCGCTAATTTTGAGCTTAATTTTTTTAAGGTTAACTATATTTTTTGGTCAATATGGATTAAAAATTATGCTTGATATAACCACTTTTTTTTTTTTTGGTTGTTTTTAAAGCGATTAATTATGAATATCTTTACAATATTTGTTCAATTTTTTATTACAGTTTTAACAATCTATTTTGTATTATTACTGTAATTACTATCTTGAATATAGCTATGTTACACAGTTATAGTTTTGGTTTTACATTTTCTAGTAAAAGATTTTAGAATTTTTGTAACCTTCTAATAGAAAATGTTGACTTGCTGAAAAAAAAAAAAAAAAAAAAAAAAAAAAAAAAAAAAAAAACACTTATGAAGACAGTCAGAGTTATTTTATTTGAAAAAAGACCTGGCGCAACAATAAGCTGGAGTCATAAAATTTTTTAATTTAATTAAAAAAATATATATTTTTTTTGTTCTTGTTTATTCTACATTATTCAGATAACTTTGATTTCCTACACTTATTGTTAATAAATATTTTATTGTTAATAAATATTTTATATTTTAACTTTAGATTGAGAAATGTTATATAATGTTATCAATCGGACTTTTAGAAATTCTTTTGTTTAAACTTTGGACTCAAAACATTTTCACTAACTGTGTAGTTTACATCATACATCGATAAGAATGTTTTGACGAATTTATATTAATGCTATTTGCGTCATTGCTAATGTTTATACGATGCATCTAATAAAGAAATGATAAATAAATATATAGTATCATAATAATATTGATATTTAAACAGTTATGTGTTTTTCATATTATTTTTATATTGTTTGTTTATTTTTTATCAAAGGTTAAAAAAATAGAATTGGTTTTGAAGGTTTGTCCTTAAATTATCTGTTATTCCATTATTAACAAAAAAAGAAAAAATAATTTGCTATAACAACTATTGTCTAATAAGAGCATGCAACGGCCTAAACAATGGTGAAGAACAAACTTTTTATATAAAAATTTATATTAACTGCTAAAAGATAATACAGTAAATGCAAAAAGAGTATATTTATATGTTAAATAAACGATTATTTACAGTTTGGATAGTTGCTGATCTGGATAAGAATACAATATTTTAGATTTAAAAAAATTTTTAACAAGTTATTTTAGAGGTACGCATTGAGTGCACTCTAATAATGATTTATGTTAAACTATTTACAATAATAATTTTTATCTCCTCCTTTCTAAATACAAATGAACGATATAAACTTTAGGTCGATACAGTAGTTAACGAATTCGTGAAAATCTTGATGTTTTTAATTTTTATTTATTTTATTACTTTATAAAGGCAAAAAAAAAAAACTAAAAAATTCTCTTTTGTTATTAATACTTACTTTTTAATTTATTTTATAATATTAAAATAAAATTTAAAATAAAATAAAAATAAGAGTAAAAATAAAATAAGAAAAATTTAAAAACTAAACCTAAAAATTTAAAAACCTAGGTTGTAAAAAAAACCGCAAAAAATACAATCTATATAAACCTTATTGAAAAGATATTATAGTCTGTATTATATTTTCGGAAAATTAAGGTGTCAACAAACTTATATGGCTAGCAAATAGCCTAGGGGAAAAAATGCTAGATCCTCCCCTGAAATAGCCGTAATGATTGAGATTTTCTTAAACTTTTAACTTACATTTTATGCGTAATAAATAGACAAGGTGCTACATTTAAAAGTTGTTGCATTTAAAAAGAAAACTCAGATAATTACTTAACTTCTACTTTAGCATTGGCCGCAATCAAATTACTCATTAATATGCTTTAAAGCTTAATATTTTGGTATTTTATGTAATTACCTAATAGTTTGGTATTTTTTGCATATGTGCTTAGTAGGGACAATCTTTAATCATAAAATAACTTTTTTTTTATTTTTAAACTTTGATTCACTCCAATAAGACTGCAAGCAACCACTATTAAAATGGAAGTTACAAGAAAACAAATAATAGAGTAAAACGAGCAAGGAAACGGTTGACAAAAAATTTTAAAAAGTTAAAGGTTGCATGTGTCAGGAAAAGATAAAGATGGGCGAGAGTTTCAAAGGGTTAATGCAGGGGTGAAAAACTAGGTGAATAAAAGGATTTAGAGCATGCAGGGACATATACATTAAGAAAATGAGACATTGCTAAATGACTAGTCAAGCGAGAATAAGTCTTACTTACGAGAACCTACTTTTTTTATATCTTCAAATATTTCAGAAAAGAAACTACTTGATATACTACTAATAATAACTTTCCTTTTTTAGGACTTTTATGGAATAACTTTTTTTTTTTTACAACTTTTTAAGACTGCATAATCTTTAAAATCTGTAGGTTAGTGTTACTACATCTTTAAAATCTAAAGGTTAGTGTTACTACATCTTTAAAATCTAAAGGTTAGTGTTACTACATCTTTAAAATCTGTAGGTTAGTGTTACTACATCTTTAAAATCTGTAGGTTAGTGTTACTACATCTTTAATATCTGTAAGTTAGTATTACTTTAAAAATATTTTTATACTTTTTCTGTCAAAATTTGATGGTGATGTTGGTTCTCTTTTAACATTTACAACATATAAGATAAAGTGCCAATTAGGTATCTATCGTTAACATTAGTTAAATAATTTTTTAATCATTTTATTTCTGCAATATTATTGGTAAGCACATAAAAATATTGCATAAATTTAAAATAATATTTTACAAAAAAAGGTTGCTTTTTATATATTTTTTTGTATTATAGTCACGTTTCAGTGTATTTTTATCTTTGTTATTCAATATTATCAAATCAATCTTGTTATTACTTACTTAAACAAAATGGCAAAAATTTTACTCCAACTCAATTAACGGAACTATTGGAATTTCATCTAAATAAAATTATCAAAATGTTTGACAATCGCTTTTAAAAGTTTAAAAACAACTTTTTTTATTACAAAAAGCTAAAATAAACATATAATAGAAGACTTAACCGAACAAGACCCAGGCAAAACCGATTCCAATGGAGGATTTCGATTCCAATTGAGGAATTCAATTGGAATGCGAATCCAATCCGAATTCAATTGGAATCCGATTCCAATCGAGGAATTCAATTGGAATCGAAGGAATTCAATTGGGGAGATAATCTTTCTCTAAAACTACCCAATCTCTTTATGAATAAAACAATTATTAAAAGAGAGTCAACTGTTAATATTCTAGGAGTGATTATAGATGAAAATTTATCATGGAAATATCATATTAAATCTATTGAAAACAAAATCTCCAAAAATATTTCAATGTTATATAAAATTAACCCATTTCTTAATATTGAGTCTTTAAAAATTATATATTTTTCATTTATTCATAGTTATCTTTCTTATTGCAATATTGCATGGGGAAGTACTAATTATGGGAAACTTAAAAATCTATAGCAAACAAAAACATGCATGTAGATTATATTTGGCGTTAACAGAACTGTTAATGGTGAATCTCTTCTAAGCGAACTTAATGCACTTAATGTTTATAAAATTAATATATACCAAGTTATGCTTCTAATGTTTAAATCAAAACATGGTTTGTCTCCTAATATATTTCACTCTTACTTCACTGAAATTACTCATAAATACCCCACAAAATTTTCAGTTGATATGTTTGTTATTCCAAGATCTTATTTAAAACTCAGCTCATTTCAAATTCAATACCGTGGACCATTTATATGGAAAAGTTTTTTGAAAAATATTATTAAAAATAAAACTCTTCTTATCTTCTCCATAGAACAATTCAAAAAAGAATCTAAACGTTTTCTATTAGGAAAAAACTTCGATTTTAAAAATTTCTTTTAAAAATAGTACTTTAAATAATTAAACTGAAAAAGTCATCACGACTCTCTTATTTTTGTATTGATTTATTTCTTATCTATAAATAATATATATATATATATATATATATATATATATATATATATATATATATATATATATATATATATATATATATATATATATATATATATATACTAAATAACTAAAAAAAAATGTTTATTTATATATCTTATTATACGATTTACAACTTGTAATATATTGTGTTGCATTTTGTAATTTTTAACTTGTTACATAAACTGAAGGCAACAATGTAAACGGGGCTTGGCGATAAGACAATATACGTCTTCTTCTTGCTCCGGCCATATATTATATATGTACGATCTTTCTTATTGTAAATTTTATCAAACTGCAAAGAAAAAAAAATAAATAAATAAATAAATAAATTGGAATGCATCATTATCAAGAAAAGAAGAAAAACCTTAAACAATTATAAAAATAAAATATTACCCTATGAAAAAATAAAACAAAAAGCAAAACTCTAGAAAGCGGACTTCTTAAAAACAAAACGTCGGTTAAAGAAAATTAATAGATAAAAGTCATCATAAATGCCATAAGATTAAAGAAGTCAACTAACACGTTAAAAAACCGCATTAGGCAAGGAACAATACTACAAACGAAAAAATTAGTATAACCAAAGAAATATATTTACATAACAACATCTACATCTTTAAATCATCATCAAATTTTGACAGAAAAAGTATAAAAATATTTTTAAAGTAACACTAACTTACAGATTTTAAAGATGTAGTATGTTGTTATGTATATATATTTCTTTGGTTTCTTTGTATATATAACAACAGCTTAGATATCAAGAAAAAAAAGAAAAAATTAAAGGCATAAATAGAAGTAAAAATTTATATTTTTTAAATTCATATTCTTTATACATTTTATACTTTATATCTATATATTCTTTATAAAATCATTGAGAACGACTGCTTTCATAACACAATTATTGCTGCCGTTATTTTCTAGAATCAGAATTCAGTTTCAAATCTATGCATAGGTGTCCATCATGGTTTTCTGGAGTATAACAAGGCTAGCTTGGCCTAAATTCAGATAT